TGTTTTTTCTTTTAATTTCTCTCACTCACATTTTTTACTTATTCTTTTTTTTTAGATTTTATTTATTTATTTTTAGAGAGAGAGAGAGAAACATCAATGTGTGGTTGCTGGGGGTTATGGCCTGCAACCCAGGCACGTACCCTGGCTGGGAATGGAACCTGCGACACTTTGGTTCGCATCGCAGCCCGCGCTCAATCCACTGAGCTACGCCAGCCAGGCTTATTTACTTATTTTTTATGAAATTCATTGGAGTAACATCATAATGAACTATATTAATATTATCTAAATATTTTATAACATTATATAAATTTGAGGTGTGCAGCTTTATAATACAACATCCATATACTCCATTAGTGCGCCCCACCTGAAGTCTAGTCTCCTTTTTTTTTTTTAAGATTTTATTCATCCATTTCTACACAGAGGGAAAGGGAGGGAGAAAGAGAGGGAGAGAGACATCAATGTGTAGTTGCCTCTCGAGCACCCCCCCACTGGGGACAGAGTCTGCAACCCAGGCATGTGCCCTAACTGGGAATCAAACTGGTGACCCCTTCGGTTTGCAATCTGGTGCTCAATCCACTGGGCCACACCAGCCAGGGCTGAAGTCTAGTCTCTTTTTGTCACCTTGCATTTAACCCCTTTTACCCTCTGTCCCCCTCCCCCCACCATGACAAAACCCTTCTGGAATGTCACCTTCTCTCCACAGCTCACCTGACAGCCCTTACCGATTTGCTCCTCTTGACGACTTCCAATCATTCTGTGCTTTATCTTCCCGATGGTGAATGGCATTTGTTTCTGCTGTGACATTTATACTTTAGATTGTACCGATATGTCTGCTGTGAGCTCCTTGAGGGGAGGGCTGTGGTCTCTGCTTTGAAGTTCTAATTCCTAGCACCAGACGGTCTGAGAGGCGGGCGCTCACACACCAGCCCACTGAGGTCAGGCTCCGTGGGGCGACTGGGGAGAATATTCTAGCCTGAGGAGTCATAGATCCTGAGCAAAGGGAGTCTCCTGCCTCCCGCAGAGCTCAGGGTCAGGGAGGCAGATGAAAGCGAGAGGCTCGAAGTCCCCGCTGTTGGCATGAGAAGAGGGCGTCTTTGACCACCCTCGGGGTCACAATGCGGCAAAGGGAAAGGCTGAGGGATTGATGGGTCGGCCTCCCGCCCCAGGCCCATTTCCCAGGACTCGGCTTGGGCATTCTGCACCACCTGGCTGGGCCTCGGTGTCCTCGTGTGTGAAATGGGCACAACAACCGCTACCTCCATGGGCGCTGGGAGGGTTAGATGAGGGTGGAGCATTGGGCAGCATGGGGCACCGGGGAATGGATGCCTGACTGCCTCCCTGCTGGGAGGTCCAGGCAGGCGGAAGACCAGAGAGAGAAGGCCGCTTGCCTGTGGTTACCCAGTACGCTGGCCGAAGGTGGGGAACCAGCTCACCCCGATTAGTAATTAGTAACACAGGTGCTCCCATCGACAGCCATGTGTGGTGGGCTGGCTCAGAGAGGGAGGCGTGGAAAATAGTGTATTGACCAGACAGAGGGTGAATCCCAGTGGGCACCACCTCTCACGCCCCGGGGCTGCCTGAATCACGGCGGCCCTGGGCCAGCTCCAGAGCGGGAGGGGGTGGGGGCGGGGCCAGGACACAGAGCTGAAGGTAAAACCTTCAGGCTGCTGTAAGGACGGAGCCCCCTCCCATGGTGGGTACTGTGGTCCTGGTCTTGGGAAACCTGGTGTTTCTGGTTTAAGATGTCGCTTCGAGTAGGGGGGAGCTGGTGGCGGGGGTGAAGCAAGGTGATGGACACTTCTTGGGCGGCTACCAGGTACCAGGAGGCTTCCGCGCGTTTTGCCATTTCATCCACGCCGCGACCTCAGCCGGCAGTGATTAGTACCAGCTCCAGTGTGCGGAGGGCGCACTTGGAGTTCACGCTGATGAAAAGCCTTGCCCCAGAGGGAGGGCAGTGTAGCTCCTGGGTGAGAACACGAAGACTGTGGCGTCGGACGCAGCCAAGCTCCGGCGCCTGTTAATGCCAGCTGATTGCAGTTCCCTGAGCCTCAGTTTCCTCGTCTGTGAAACGGGAACAGTAACAGTCCCTGCCTCTTGGGGAACTGTTGTGACATTTCAGCGGGATGACGTGTGTGACACGCACTAAGCAGCGCTGGCCAGCATCATCCCCATTTTACCGACGAGACAGCTGAGCCTCAGAACGGGGAGGCACCTTGCCGGAGGCCAAGGCAGGACTTGGGAACCCAGGTCTGATGCTTCCCATGCACCGCTGTGGAGCTCCCAGGGGTGGCCCCCGGCTTCCAAAAGGCTGTCAGGAGGGGGCTGGAGGAGCGAGGCTCTTTGGAACAACCCTCGGCCCAGATTTCTGATTGGCCATGGGAGCCGGCCCTGGGCTCGGGGATCGGGCTCAGGCCTCCAGGCGGCAGGGAGTGCGGCAGCTGCCTGGAAGCCTTGCGTGTCCCACGGCGTCCTCGCCGGCCACCGACATGGGCCCAGCATTGTTCTCCGGACGCTCCCAGCCCAGCGCCCGCACATTAGGGGTTTCCGGAGTCCTGGCCAGAACTGCGTTCCCTTTCCGGAGAAGCTTACCCCCCGCGACTGGAACGGGGGCTGAGCTGGACCCTGGACGCGGGCCCCCTGCGCTGGGCAGGGACTGCTGGGAACAGCACTGGCGGCAGCTCGATCAACATCCCCTTGACCCCATGTGTCCTGACCCCAGAGGCTGCCCTTCTCGCTCGCCTCCCCCGGAGCCGAGGGCAGAGCAGGCCGTGACTCACTTTCACTTTCAGGCTGGCTGCAGTCGGGGCGCTTGGCTTCCAGCCCCTTTCACAAACGCACTGTGACCTGGGCACGTCTCCCCCTCTCTGTGCCCTTAGGACAGAGACTGGAAAGTACCCGAGGTCCCTTCCGTCTCTGCCACTGGGTCAGGAGTGACCTGCAGCCCCGTGCTCTGCCGTCTGAGCAGCACCTTCTGCAGGGCGGGGCCCGTTCTCCTGGAGCGCACGGCAGGTGCCTGGTCTGCATGCACCTGGGAGGTGCGGAGAACGCTTGCCTGCCTGCCTGGCAGGGGCCTGGACGGGGTGAGAGCAGAGGACCCCAGTGAGGGAGCCAGCCCAGCAAACTCAAGCACCATCCCCACCTCCTGCCCCCAGACCAACTGGATAAACTCTGCATTGGAATCAATATCCAGAAGCCACACCCTAGGATGTCTGGGAGCTTGGGGCGCCTGTGGCCGAGACCCCCTTCTGCAGCTTTCACAGGTGTCTGTGCTGCAGAGGGCTGGAGGCTGGGCCCCTGCGCCCCCCACAGCAGGACCAGCAGGGGACCACCAGGCCCTGAGGCCTCCCAAGCCCTCTTCCACAGGCCCGGGGCCCGGGGTGGCACCCGCAGGGCGACAGTGGGGCAACACTGCAGAGCTGGCTGCGTCCGGTGACTTCAGCACCTCGGAATCAGTCGAATGGGATCACCGGGGGGTTCTGTGCGCACCGCCGTGACTCACACCTGGAGCAGCAGCCTCGTGGGCAGCGGCTGCCAACCTGGGGCCGCACCACAGCTCACCTTTTAAGGAGAGGGAGCCGGGGAGACCCGCCTCTGGCTGGGTGCGAGGCCTGTGCCAGGCACCTGCCCGGGGGCAGAGAGGCCCGATGCCCACCTGGGTTCAAATCTGGCATCGTCACTTTTCAGAGGTGACCTTGGGCAAGTCAAGTCCTCTGAACCAGTTTCTTCACCTGTGATATGGAAATACCGCTTGCCTCACGAGAGAGGAATTAAATGAGGTAATGTGTGCAGAAACGGCTTGGCGGAGGGCACCTTTTAAGGAGTGGCAGCGGGGCAGAGTGGAAAGGGCCCTGGCTTGGGAGTCAGGGTGCTGGGCTCCGGCCCCGCCCCTTCCTTCCCCGGGGTGTCTCTGAAAACTTGGCCTCGGTTCCTCTTCTGTAACGCAAGCTGACACTGCCTTGTCAGCTAGTTGTGGGATTAAGACCGCAGGTACGCTACATTTTGTAAGATGACAGGGTGGGGGGAGGCTTAGGAGCCGGGGCCGCACTGCCTGGCCTTGAACCCCAGCCCAGGTGCCTGTGGGCTTCACAGGCTTGGATGAGGTTCTCCTCCTCTCCAAGTGGCCCTCCTGTGCGGAAGGGCACAGGGACGGCCACGCTCACCGAGGGGGCTGCAGGGTGGGCCGCTCAGAACAGGGCCTGGCACGCAGGACGTGCTCTGAGCACAGGCTGCGCTCACTCCTCCGATGCACGGCTTTCTCCACTAACGGCACTGGCTGGTTTACCGCCTCCTCCACCGTCGCCTTCGAGAGCGCCCAGGCCTGAGGCCTTCCAGAGGGCACAGGCCCCGCTTTGGAGGCAACCCCCCTCTCCTGACAGTCACAGCAGCCTCCCAAGGCAGACCCTTGGGCGGACCCCTCCCAGACCCCAGGGTAACTCAGGAAGTTCCAACAGGGACAGGCAAGCCACCGAGACCGCCGCACATGGCAGTGGGCCTAGGGCCCCTGGGACGAGGGGCAGGGTGCCAGGATACCTTGGTTGTTGAGTACACATGGTGCCCGGGGCCCTGGCACCTCAACCCCAGGAGGGAGATGGAGGGCAGGCTCTTGGCTGGTGAGCCCGGCCCCAAGGCAGGGTCCCTGCAGCACGGGGAGCTGGCCAGCTCCCCCAGTGGCACCAGGCTCTGCGCAAGAAGGGCCTCATGCCGGGCGGGAAAGGAGGACCAAAGGGAGCGGCTGGAACAGCCCAGGCGGCAGAGACAACCCCACCTGGGCAGCAACCCTGGCTCTGTGCCCCGAGTGTCCTCACCTGTGCAACAGGGACAGCAAGCACTCTTTTGCCTTGCGTGCGAAGGTGTCCCCAGGACAGTGGCCATCGCTGACAAGTGTTAATGACAAGGGGGCTGGACACGGGCAAGCAGGTGGTGGGAGGTCAGAGCAACGGGGAGACAGCGGCCTGGGAAGGGGTCACAGGGCCCTGAGCCCACACAGAGCGGAAGCTGTCGACGGCACAAACCCCGGTTTTATTGGTCTGGTCTCTTCACAGGGAGCCTCCCGCTCAGAGAACCACAGGGCCCGCTAGTGGAGAGGGAGGGTGGCATCCGCAGACTTCCAGAGTCCAGCCCAGTGCGCGCTCGCCGCCCTGGTGCCCGGGAGGAGAGAAGGGAGGTGGCTCTCTGGGGGCGGGGCTGGCTCTAGCATAATGTGGTGCAGGGCCCCGGGTCCTTTCTTCACAGCGGGAGGTAGAAAGGGTCACATAAAGTTCTTTATTACAGACCTACAAAAAAAAATGAGAGAATTATATATTACTCTCATTTGTTTGGGTTTCTCCTTTCCTTCTTTTTCTTTTTATAGAACAGCAGGGAAGAAAGACGCAGGAGGCAGAGGAGCCAGGCACCGGGGTTAGGATGAGATGCTGGGGCCGGGAGATGAGGGCCAAGCCATCCCTGCCCGACAGTAACGACAGTGACGCCGCAGGCTGGCCCGGCCTCTTTCCGAGCACCGCGGGAGAACTGCAGCAGCCCCGGAGGGGCAGACCCAGAGAGAGTGGGTGGGAGACAGCTGTCCCCGGACCAGCAGCAGCACCGTTCCTCTGGAGGCCACCCTGGCCACCAGCCGGGTCGGAGGGACTGGAGGAGGACCCACACTCGGAGGCCGGGTCTGCACAGCACAGGCCCTTGGGCCCAGACAGAAGGGAGGAGGTGGGGTGGCCCTGCACAGGGCTGTGAGCTCCATCGGGTCCCTCCGGGGACCATGGGGCCCCAGCGGGCAAGGGCAATCGGGGCTCTTCCCTGCTGCTCAGCCGATCAGCTTCTTCAGGAAGGCCTCCAGCTGGTCCTCATCCTTGATGCCCACAAACTTGTCCACCACGTCCCCATTCTTCATGGCCAGCACAGTGGGCACAGCCGACACCTAGATGGAGGAGGCAAGGGAGGCCAAGGCATTCAGAGGTGACGTGAACTCTTTGATTGCCATTCCCAAGCCTTCGTGGGGAAGGCTGGTGGCTTATGTAGGGCAGTGACCGCCCAAAGCCATGGGCGGGGCCCTATCCCTGGTGCAGGGGTGCTGCAGGGCCCGGAGGTCCAGCCTTGGAGAAACTTTTCCACTGTGGGCTCCCAGAAGTACCCTGCCTCCCCCAACCACACGGCTGACTCACTGGCCCAGTGGTTTGGCTGGAATGACAGGGGATTAAAATAACCCTTGCAGCTGCAGGCCGGGCTGGGGGCAGGGCGGAGCCACGGGTCAGTAGGCACAGGGCAGAGACGGGGAGGTGGGCGACTCTGCCTCCCGGCTCTGCCCCTCACTGGCTGGGGGCGTGGCCAGGCCACACCTCCTTCAGAGCCGCAGGGGTGGTGGTACCTACCTACCTTGGCAGTTTAGGATAGGGATTAAAGGCTTAGATACTAAGTTGAGTGCTTGGGAGCCTGGGCTCTGAAGCTGGCCGACCCCATCCATCCATCCATCCATCCATCCGGGCGGCCTTGGGCGAGCCACTCCATCACTCTCAAGTATCAGTGTTACCATCTGCAAACCGGAGACACTGGCGGCGCTTACAGGAGCAGGTATACGGGCTGAACGAAACCAGGAGCGCAGACTCTCAGCACAGCGCCCCCGCACCTGGCAGGGCCAGCAGCAGTGGTAGACCCCGGCACGGCGCCCGGCACGCAGTGGGCACCCCGCAAACAGTGGCTGCAGCGGGCAGGGCAGGGAGGTCTACCACAGGCCCCTGGGGAGCCCCTTTAGCTCGGTGCCGTGCCGGTTAACGGGGTCCAGAAGGTCACCGACTCCTTCTGGACAGTGTGGGAAGAGGGCTCGGCCATGTAGGACCTGCTGATGATTTATAGTGGGGGCGGGAGACAACATTCTTGGCCTACGAAGCATCTTCTCCAGCTGCCACAGGGGACATGCACAGATCATGTGCTACATAAATAAGGCCCACGGCTTTGGCACTGAGCATTTTCTGTTCCCCGGGCTCCCTGCCTGACACTGGTGGCCACTTGAAAAAAATATATAAACAGAACAAGATAAACACGCTTTTCTTACACACAAGTTAACTACAAAGTAACAATAGTGATTCAGACAAACATACCAGGCCCTCACGTATCCTGAGTGCTGTCCCACCCATGAGTCATCTTGAGGAGCTGGCCTTAAGATTTACAGTGTTTCAACTCCACATGTCAGTTACAAAGAAAGGACAGCAAGCCACCCGGAGATTTCACAGGGCAGGCTTGCACCCCTCCCCCTGATGGCCTTTGGGGACAAAAACAGCAAGTAAGATGACACAGCCCGTCCTTGTTAGTATCTTCAGGCCCCTTCAAGGACCATCCTGGGGCTAATGTGGGTGGCAGGTGTGTGCAGACCCATCAGGCAATGGGCTGACCACACACGTCACTGGTTCCTGTCCCTGGAATTCTTTTTTTTAAATAAAGATTTTATTTACCTACTTATTGTTTTAGAGAGAGGGGGAAGGAAGGAGAAAGAGAGGGAGAGAAACATCAATGTGTGGTTGCCCCTCATGTGCCCCCAAATGGGGACCTGGCCTGCAACCCAGGCACATGCCCTGACTGGGAATCAAACTAGTGACCCTGTGGTTCAGAGGCCTGTGCTCAATCCACTGAGCTACACCAGCCTGGGTCCTGTCCCTGTAATTCTTGACTCTGGCATGGGCGACTGCAAGGGTCCAGCACCTGGCCCGCTCTGTCTCCAGGCACAAGCTTGCTCCCGAATGCACCCAAGCCTCTGAGACGCAAGGTTTGAGGGTAAGATTACAGGGCCGGTGCTTTGTGCTTTTGCCCCCTCTAGTGGTCCGTGAGGGAATTGGCCTCAAACCTGGCAACTTTCAAGTACCAGTCAACTCTACCCTTTGTTCAATCCCACCCTGTGCCGTTTCTTTCTTTTTTAAAAAAAATTTTATTTGTTTATTTTTAGAGAGGGGAAGGGGAGGGATAAAGAGAGGGAGAGAAACATCAATCTGTGGTTGCCTCTCAGGCAAGCCCCTCACTGGGGACCTGGCCTGCAACCCAGCCATGTGCCCTGACTGGGAATCAAACCAGCAACCCTTTGGTTTGCAGGCCTGCGCTCAATCCACTGAGCTACGCCAGCCAGGGCTCTGTGCTGTTTCTTAATAAAAACAAAAGCTGTATGCCAGTGTACGAGAAGTGACCTAATTGTCTTTACGTGTCCTCTAAGCAGGACTGTACCCGCTCTGAGGCAGCATGGAGTGGACTCAGTTTCCCTCAAGAACTCCAGACGAGGGAGTCGTGCTGTGATCACGCTGGTGTAAACTCCCACGTGCGCTCACACACGCAGATATGTGCGGCAGCTGGGTGTACAGCACCCATATCACGACTGCATTTTCATGACGCCCAAGGGCCAGTCATTCCTGGCCACAGGCACGCTCTGAAGGCTGAGCGTGCGTGCACACGTGTGGCCGCGGGTGTGCCAGAGGCTGGATTCCCCACACTGCAGGGGTGCCTGGGCTCTGACTGGGCTCCCCTCACCTCCGAGGAGGGGCTGGTCCCTACAAACACCGCCTTAAACAGAAGTGCACAGGTGCTGGGCACGTTCTTCCGGAGCAGAGACGTAGGCTTAAGAGGGGCTGCGGTGAAGCCAGAATTCGGCACCCTTCCCAACTCTGGCAGCCCTGAGGGCCGAGGGGCTGGAGGAAGGTGGAAAACTGTGCTGGAAGCGCCGCCTCTCCTGTGCACCATGCAGCCACCTGCCTGCCGCCTCCCATGCTTGGCTACAGGCCCTGAGAACTCAGGACCTGGGTGTGTGTGTGTGTCTGGGGTCTCTTCCCGCTGACCCGCAGCCCACCCCCACCCTCCTGCACTGCTGCTGAGCTGGCTGGCCCTGCCGGGTCTCCTCCCAGCTCACCCCGGTTTCCTCCATTTGCGAGTTGTTAGGGGTCTACCGAGGGACAGGCACCGTGCTAGGTCTGTAAGAGACCAGCGACTTCCTCCTGACGGCAGAACGGAAGCAGAGAAAGGTCGCCGTCACCCCGGCTACCACATCCTGGCTGCTTTTTAAGTGGCAGGGACGACACTAACCATGTGTGCCAGCTACCTCAAATGCTTGCCTCTTTCCAGATCCGAAGACTGAACTGGCGAGGAGTGGAGCTGGGATTTGAAACAAGATCTGTCTGCCTCTGCTGCCGGCGAAGCAGTGGCCAGATGACACCAAGCCCCGGCCGGCCAAACAGTGAGGAACGGGAGACAGACACTGAGTCCCCGCAGGGCTGGGGAGCGCGTGCGGAGGAGAAGCAGTCAAGACGCCCTGCTTCGGCCAAGAAATGCCAAATGCTCTGGAGAAGCTTTTAGATACAGGAGGCTTCTTAGAAAAACCATTATTAAAAAAATCAAGTCCAACTGTACAACACTCTGGAAGAGGCAACAGCACCGCGGAGACAGGAAAGAGGTCAGGGGTTGCCCGGGGTTCTCGGGGAGGCGGGAAGAAAGGGTGGGGCCCAGCAGATCCCTAGGGTGGTGCCACTGTTCTGCAGGACGCCGCACTAGGGGACGCAGCCGTCACCTGTCTGTCCACACAAGTGAGATCCCCACGCGGACAGGCAGCCTGTGCCCCAGCAGGTGGGACGGGCCTTCACAAGGACGCCGCGGCCCCAAGGCCAGCCCGGGGCTTCAGAACTTTTGCTCCTTGACGCCCGGTTTGAGACTCTGCAGTGGCATTACCTGGAAGCCTGTTAGAAATGCAGAATGTTGGGCCCTTCTGGACCTGCTGAATCAGGCTGCTTTTCAACACCCCGGGTCATGCCCTGGCTGGTGCGGCTCAGTGGACTGAGTGCCAGCTGGATTCCCGGCCGGGGCACACGCCTGGGTCGCTGGCTGGGTCCCCGACTGGGGGCGTGTGAGAGGCATCTGATCAATGTTTCTCTTGCTCCTTTCACACGTCGATGTTGCTCTCCCTCTTTATCACCTCCCCCATAAACACACAAAATCTTGAGAGACACTGACTTAGAAGATTTTCAAAATAGTGGGATATAGTAATGATGGAAGTATATAGTACCTTCCAACTATGAAATATTATTAGTTGAACTGTCTGTGAAGTTAATGGAACATTAAAAAGAAAAAAACTGAAACAACCCAAACGAGGTACCCCAAACACGGGCAGTCGCTGTGCTTGAGTGGTAGGACTAGAGTTGACTTCCCCGCCCCTGTAGCTGGTGGCTGTTTCCCAACGCTTCTCAAAGGGCAGCCCGGAAGATGAGGAAACGGGCAGGGTAACACTCCAAGGGGGAGGTCGGAAGCAGAAGCCCCAGCGGAAAGCATAAAGGCTGATGGGCCACAGCCACATCCAGACCCAGTTTCCTGCCCCCTGCCCCCCGGCTGGCAAGGCCTGAGTGCCCCCAAATGCCCAGCTGTCCTGCGGGCACCCCAGGGGCAGGGAGAGCTGAATGCTCTCCCACTCCCAAGCCAGGGCAGCGAGGAGTCTGGGCACGGGGCTGTCCACAGACACCAAAACCCCGCGGCCCTGCGTGACTTTCCCTTCCCTCTCCTTTGGGAGACAGTGAAATTCCAGGGCAGGCAGTCGACTGAAGTGTAAAATGTGGGAGGGGAGGGGGGGCATCTGTGTGAGGAAGGAGACCACCCATCCTCAGGGTGTGCTGAGCTGGGCGGAGAGCTCGGGAAGAGGTGCCTACTTCCCTGCACAGAACCTTCAGCGTTTTCTCAACAAGTGATCCAACGTGTGGAAAAGCACTTCAGGCCCCGGAGGAAGCTATCCCAGCAGGCACTATGGATCCCTTAGCTGAAACTTCTTCCCCAGGCTCTTCCAAAAGAACAGGTGTGCCGGAAGGAAGAAGAGGGCTGGGGGGGGGGCGGGGGGAGGAAGCATCCCGGCTGGAGCTTCCGAAGTCTGCAATGACGTCTGCCCCGAGCTCAGCAAAACAAGGAGGGGGGATCCGGTGCCTGGGCCCAGCAGCCTCGGGGGCTTTCTGTGTGGCCCGTGCATGCTACCTGGACAGTGGACAGGGAGGAGGACAGAGATCTCATGAGACCTCTCCGCACTCCACATACTTTCCCAGGCTTAACCCAGGACTTTGGTGCCCAGTCCTACATTAACAGGCCCCCTGGAATGCAGGTGGGAGGCCTGGGGAACTCTCACCGCCTCCTTGACCACTGTCAGCAGGGACTGGGTCACTCTTCTTTGCATCTGCACCGGCTACCGCAGCTCCTGGCACTTGGCTGGCGCTCAGCATGTGTCTGCTGAAGTTCCACTGGCTGGGGGCGGAGCCTAACCCCCTCCAACCTGCCCATCACCCTGCCGAATCCAGATATTTCAAGAGAAAGAGAAATCTGGATTTTTGTGGGAAATCTTCTGAGTTCTAAATAGCAACATCTGGGTTGGTATTTTAAAAAAGCACTTGGAGAGCCAGTCCAAACCTGCCCCAGGGCTGGACCTGGCCCACAGAGGCCACTGTGGCTCTGTAGTAACACGGTCCTTAGCACAGTTGTGCAGACCCCTCCAACATGGCCACGGTGGCTTTCCCAGCAGCCTGCTCCTTGCTGCACCCTTCCCTCCAGCCATCTAGCCACGACGGACATGTCCCCTTGCTCTAACTACAGTGGTCTCCAAGGCCCAGAGGATGCCCCCACTTCCCGCACGTTTCCTGTTTCTCTTCCTCCAGCACGCTCTGCTCCACAGGCTCTGCTGTTCTGTGAGCACACGGGGGAGACCCTGACCTCAGGGCCTTTGCATGTGATGTCTGCTCTGACTGGACTGCTCTTCCAAAGAGCTGCATGGTTCACCCGTGCTCCCAGGTCTTAGTCAGATGTCAGCTTCCCATCGAGACCATCCCCAGCCCACCCTCTAAAAAGGAAAGCCTCCCCAACCCCGCACTCTGCACTCTCGCCCCCTTTTCCGGAGTTGTTTGTGTCTGTGCTGTCTACCGCCACCTCGGTGCTATAAGCACAGGATTTGCAACAGTGACCAATGCCTACGAAGCCTCAAATATGTACCACCTCGTCCTTCAGAGACAAGTCTGCCAACGCCGACCTAAAATGCCACAGGGCAGGCTCCACGGAGACTGGAGTTTGTCGGTTTTGTTCACTGCCACATCCCCAGCACCAAGCACAGCACCTGGCACGTAAGGGACTCTAAGTGAACGGCTGTCGAATGAACATGCAAGCAAATCGAACACGTCGGGTGATGTCACATACTTGCGTGTGCTGTGCTCTGGGTCCCTCCTGCTTCGTGCATCGTTCCCGGCTCTGCTCAGAGAGTCGCTCTAGCGGGACGCCTTCCCTGTCCCCTCCAGCCCCGCCCCAGGTGTCATCGGTTCCTTCTTCTGTGCATCTCTTCTCCCAGTCCTTCTCATCCTGCACTGAGGTGATCTGTCTACGTGTTCCTTCCCACTAGACTAAGAGCTGCTTGGGGACAGGGGGCTCATGTCGTCTGCGCCAGAGTCACGAATGCCCGGCACACTGTAGGGCTTGGAAATGACTGCGGGCTGAACACGTGGATGAATGAATTCAGGAAGGAAGAAATGCACCCGTGTCCTGAAGTACACAGAACCACCCGCTGTTTGGGGGCATGCATTCTACTTCCTGAAGGTGGTAAAGAGGGACACGCGGCTCAGAGGTTTGATAGACTCGCCTCTGTCAAGTGCTCTGAACCCCTGGGAGCTCTAAAAAAAAAAAAAAAAGCCCAAGACACCTCCCCTTACTGGCTCTCTGGTGGTCCCCAAGACATCCACCGGCTCCACCAGCTATCCTGTGGCCCCAAGCACCCCCAGACCAGCTGCCCTGGGCGGTCCCCTGTCGATCCATACCTCATACTCTATGGCAAGGTCTGTGTGGTCGTCAATGTCCACCTTGGCCATCACCACCTTCCCATGCTGCTTGGCCACCGCCTTCTCTAACCGTGGCCCCAGGATCTTGCAGGGGCCACACCACCTCGGAAGGGGAGAAAGGAAGCATCCCGTCACAAAAGTGCTCACCAGCTGATCTCCGTTCTCCCCAGAACATGCCCTTGACCCACATCTTTCTGGGGGACCTTTTGCCCTTATTACCTCTGTTTACAGTGTCTGAATATTAACCTGTAATGTCGACATGCCAAATGGTAATGCTAGGAGATTCGGCAACAGGGGAATTCTCACAGGTCCCTAAGTTCTACAACAAAGGCCTCAGACTCTCACAAAGGTTATTTCGATTTCTTCAACCTATCTAAAAAAGACGATTTGCCCTGGCTGGCGTAGCTCAGTGGATTGAGCGTGGGCTGCAAACCAAATTGTTGCAGGTTCGATTCCCAGTCAGGGTACATGCCTGGGTTGCAGGCCACGGCCCCCAGCAACCGCACATTGATGTTTCTCTCTCTCTCTCTCTCTCTCTCCCCCTCTTCCCCCTCTGAAAATAAATAAAAAAAATCTTAAAACAATAAAAAAGACGATTGGCCATGTGGAAGGATATGGGATTGGAAGTTAAAAGGTCTGGGTTCAAAGACAGGCTCCTCCTCAACCAGCTGACTGTACTGGGGCCCAGTTTCCTCATTGGAAAAAGACGGGCCGCGCCTCTCAGGGCTGTGATGAAAAATCAGCTAAGGCACCGTGGATAAACATGGTACATAAGATACAGCATTCCTTCAAATACCTTATTGACAGAACTAAAGGCGAAGAAACCGATGGCTAGAGTGTCCACGACAGGCCAGTCACCACGCCGGGACCTTCTCAGCTTTTCCTACCCAGAACCCTCCACGCTGCCAAGGAAAGGGGAACTAGAAAACTGAGGCCCACACCAGTTAAGCAACTTATTCAATGTCACAGAGCTGGTGAGAAGCACAGCTGGTACCACAGCCCAAGGCTGTGTTCCAAGTGTCTTCTTTTAGCCCCAGGCTACCCTGCGATTCCCAGACCCTGCGACAGCAGCCAGTGCTGCACCGAACACAGGTGTTTCCCTCTATGGGGTGGGCTTTCAAGAACCGCCGTCTTCCCTAGGCATGTGGCATTAAGGACAGTGCCTGGCACTGAACGAACAAACTCACGCCCTGCTTCTGTGCTGGAGAAGAGAAGGAAGCAGCATCCCATTCACCACCCGCTTGGGAAGCCCCCTCTGGAATGTGCACCATACCAGGAGGGCAGGACAGCCCTATGTCCCACGACTCCCTGGCTGGTGACTCCTATCTTATTTTCAGCCTTTGAAATGCTTTCCATTCAGAGATTTCAATGAATGAACCTACCACACCTGAAAGCCCAGTCTGCAAGACCTTATCTCCCGCTACAAGTGAAGAAAGGGAAGCACAAGGACATCCACTGGCCTGCCCGGGGTGAGTGGTGAGTCAGAGAAAGAACGGGCAAGCAAGCAGAAGAACCTGCCAAGATTTGCAGAGAAAGCCTCCCAACTTGTAACTCAGGCAATAAGGGTTCCTTCTAGAATGTCTCCTTCTGACGATTTCGTCCAGTTTTTTTTTTGGTAGCCAGGCATCTAGCCAGGCCCCAAAGGTCTGGAAATGAAAAAGGTAAGGCTAAAAGTCAGTAGGCCACAGGCACTTAAATATCCTGAGAACAAACTCATGCAGCACTGAAAAGAAACTCTTGCCCACTCTCTGCACGCCCGGGCGCCACTGGGGTGGCACTGAGGCCTCTTAGCCATCCCTTCCCAGTGCAGGTGGCAGGGTGTTATGTTAAAACCAAACCGACTTATCTGCAGGGCCAGGAATTGGTATACACCAAGAGCCACAGAGTGCTACAGTTTTATTATCCCTGTTTTGGTACAAGCTGAAGACGACTCTCAACCATTTGGGCGGTAGAGTCAGGACACAAGTGTTTCCCAGCACCAATAAGAGCTTGAAAGACTGTTTACTGGTCTGTCTCCTACCCGACTGCACTCATTTCTTTGGGAGCAGGGATTGGGCCTTGCCAGTATTTGGAGTGAGTCTGTGTATGAGACGCGTCCAATGTGGTGCTGAGACAGAGCTGGCTCTCAAAGATATCTGAACAAGTGACACCCCGGTCTTCTCCTGGACCCCAGAACTCACTGTGCATGAAAATCCACAACCACTGGTGTCTCACTGTTGACAACTCGGTCTTGAAAGTCAGTGCCATCCTGGACGTTAAAGGTCGTTGTACAGACTCTGGTGGTGTATAATGACCGGGCTTGGCTGGCTGTTACTGTCGCATCACCAGGACTGCCTTGCAGGGGCTGCAGAGCCCTGGAGGTGAGCGGTGCCCACCGACCTTGAGGGGGCTTCCTGGAGGTGACGGAGGCCAGGAACCTCCGCAGGAGAAGTCGCTGAGCCATCTGTGAGGGGAAGAGGCAGGAAGAGCTTCAGCAGACAACCGGAAGTCAACACACCACAGGAAGAAAGGTACTGGGAATACAGGTGGACTCAAGATGCAGGGCTGGAAGCAAAATGCCAGGAACTAAAGAACCTTTCTGGAGTAGAGGTGAGTGAAGGAAGAACCAAACGGTAGAAGGAGCTGCAAACCAGGTCAGGAAAACTGGGTTGATAACCCAAAAGGAGTCAGGTTATCAGTGAAATTACAACAGAAGGGAGGCAGGAACTGATATTTACCAAGCACGTGCCAAGGGCTACATGTCTTACATACATTATAATCCTCCCAGATCAACTTTGGAGAAAGTTTCTCTAGTACTGCCCGTATTACCGATAAGGAATCCGAGGCTCAGTTAAGTTGTGGCATGCCCAGAGTAACCCAACTACTACACGAGAGTCAACATAGAAACTCTAGGCCGTCTGCAAAGTCCTTTCTCTATCAATTACTTTTTAAAAAGTATTTTAATGGGAAATTAGGGATAAAGAGGGGTTGTAAAAGATCAGGAGAGAGGGACCACAACAATTCAAGGAGGAACTAAAAAGCACAGAACCAGGTATGTATGTGTGGGGTAGCTAAAAAACAGGGGACGCGTGTGTGGAGAGAAGTGGGGAAATCGGCCGTCGCCAAGGACCCCTGCTCTCCGGCGGGCAGGCCCTCCCGCCCGGGGCCTCGGCCCGCTCGGTCGCCGGCCCCCCGCAGGAACGCGCCCGCAGCGTGCCTCAGCCGCGACGCCACCTCCCGCCACCCCTACGGGCCTCCTACCTCCCCGTAGCGCGAGCGGAGGGTTGCACAGCCCGGCCCGCCCCGCCCCGCCTGTCAAGGGCACTTCTGGCGTCACTTCCTTAGAGGAGGATCTTATCGTCACTTCCGGGGACAAGCGACCTGGAGCGCGTCTCTCTGCAACTGGAGGGTCGGCCCGGATTTCCCGCGAATGGCGGGGAAAGACCGCTAAAGGGGCGGAGCCTCAGTTAGGGACCCGAAAAGAGGGACACACGGGCGAAGAGACCGGAATAGGGAGGGCGGACCCTTGGGGAGGGACCGGAAAAAGTGTTGACTGGGGGTGGGGGGAGGGACCGGAAGAGGCGGGCGGGCCCCGGAGGAGGGACCGGAAGGGGAGGTGAAAGTCGGGGGAAGCACGAGGGAAGTGCTCTTGGGAGAGAGGGGAGGAGGGGAGGAATGATTGTGAAGTGTGTTAACTCAGCCTGCTTTAAACTCAGCCAGCACTGGCCGCCCCTCTGCCCCATTTATTGTCTCCCCCAAACTCCTAGACATGCTGGAAGGTGCTTTCCTTCCATTTTACAAACGAGGAAGCTACACTCCTGAATGGGCAGAGTTCCCATCAATGGGCAAAAGACCCTGCCTAGGAGTCAAGAGCCCGCTTTTTGTCCCTTGTCTGTAACATACAACTGCATGACCTCGTGGTTTTGGGGGAGTCAGCCTGCCCCGGGGCCTTCAGTTTCCCGTTCTGTGGCCTGAAGGACTAGGCTTGTCACGCACCTCTTTGAACTTGCTGGGGAATTGGGCACCAGATGGTGGTGATACTTGGAAGGCCTGCCCTTGAGGCCTTGGGTCAAGTGTGGTGACCTGTGAACCTTGGGCCTGGGCCTTCCTTTCATACTCTGGGTGTTCAGACCTAGGCACCCCAAGATGTCCTTTAGTGGCATGGGAATTGTTTTGAGCTAAGGACAATTTTAACTTCAGGCTCAAGAGTAACATCTGCTCCTCTCTTAAACTACCTAGGAAAACTTGAATTAGGGGCCTTGCCCATAATAAGAGATTATCAGTGACAATGTTTTTGACTCATCTGCATGACAGGGCAAACTTCTGTTTACTAAACATCTATTCTTAGCATTTTGCACTGACCCTTTGAAGCCCCCAAGGTACCTTACCTCATCAGTAGCTCAGAGTGTCTTATACACTCACATTCTCTTTCTCTCAGCCTCTCCTGCACGTGGGGGTCTGCGACTCTCTCATGTCTGTGAGGTTCCCCTGCAAATGTAGGACATTTGGTTATTTTATCTTGATAATCTGTCTCATGCCTATTTGATTATTAGACCAGAAAAAAGAACATTGTGAGTGGAGGAGAGTTGATCGTTCTTGCCAACACCTTTTGTCACTGTCATGGACAGTGGGAGTGCAGACACCTGTGTGTCCCAGGCTAGGGTGTTTGGGCTGCCTGTCACATACCAGACCCAATAAGCAGAGGCAGGGATCGAATCTTTTGGGGCACTTTATTCAGATGGCTGGTGATCTGAGAAGACAGTGAGTTTGTACCCTAACAGACTGTCTTAAATTTTATTTTAAATTGACCAGTTTTATAAGAAGAAAGTGTAGGTAAGAGGTTTGGAATTCAGGGAAAAGTCAATCAGATAAAAAACTGCAGCATTCTTTCATCTGTGTCCTGGGCGGGGTGGCCTTTATCTCTGTCCTGGGCGGTGGGCGTCTCCCCCTGGAACACAGTGGCTCAGATACCATCCTGACCTCTTGCAGTCCTTCTGGGGCACAAAGGTGGAACTGATGGGGTCTCCTGGAGTCAGGGTGGGTCAGACCTTCAGTTCTTGAAACAATAGCTTAAAATTTTTATTTATTTATTTTTAGAGGGGAAGAGAGAGAGAGAAACATCAATGTGTGGTTACCTCTTGCTCACCCCCTACTGGGGACCTGGCCTGCAACCCAGGCATATGCCCTGACTGGGAATTGAACTAGTGACAGTTTGGTTCACAGACCAGTGCTCAATCCACTGAGCCACATTAGCCAGGGCTGAAACAATAGCTTTTTACATACATTGATTACTAAGTTTATTAGCTATTACCTGAACCTAAAAATTTTCCAACAATTGATTATCCCCAATCAGGGTCACAGCCACCTCTTGTGTCCCCTGTATGGTGTGCCACCAGTCATGGCCTCTTATGGTTCTATGAATACATCAGTGTGTTTTTTCCCCTCCTCGCCTTTGCTTCTTTCTCTCTCCACTTGCTACAACACCTAGGTTACTCATCTCCATTTCTTTGAGCAGCATTAATCGCTTCCTTCTCTGTAGTGCTTTGTTCATAACTTTCACATAACGCTGACCGCATGCTTCCTAAGAGTAGGGATTTGTAGCTTTTATCTGACTCCATATGCCCAGCACCAACCTAATACAGCACTTCGCTCACAGAAGATGTTCAATAGAGGCTTATTAAGCCCTGACTGCTGAGGCTCAGTGGGTTGGCGGGTGTCCCGCAAACCAAAAGTTTTCTGGTTTGATTCCAGCAGCCACAGCTTTGCAGGGATCTTCTTCTGGGATGAGGTGAGGGAATGCTTGGGATAGGTCTGCTTCCCCTGGCTGCTGGCAGCCATGTCGGCCTTCTACTTAATAAAGGCCCTTGTTCATCGCACGCAGAAGACTAGGTGAGGACATGGGCAGGCACGGCCTGCTCCACCCTATCTGACCCCTTGCTTTTGCCTCTGTCCCTACCTAGGACTGGAGCCCACAGTGGTGATCCATAGAGGGACCCCAGTATCCCTGGCCGGGTAGTTGAGTTGGTTGGAGCGTCATACCATACACCATGAGTTTGCAGGTTTGATTCCCTGTCAGGGCACATACCTAGGTTATGGGTGTGATTCCTGATCAAGGTGCATACTGGAGGCAATTGACTGATGTTTCTCTCTCTTTCTCCCTTTCTCTCTCTCAATAAACATTCTCGAGTGAGGATTTAAAAAAAATTATACATATTTTTGTCAAATCGGCAAAAAATACATTTTTGGTCTGCCGGAGTTTTAGTAGTTTATGTGTGCCATGAGTTGGGGAGGTTGGAAACCGCCGCTCCAGACTGCTGCCTCTTCCCGGAGTAGCCCCAGGGCACAGCCCGCCAATGTAGGCCATCAGAGGGCACCGTGGGCTCAGACTCTGCAGCTGGCCGTGCGCCCACCAGGTGGCAGTGTGGTTCTTTCAGCGTCCTCCACAGTGGGCTGGGCGGGCTGGGCGAGCTGGGCTCGTCCTCATGGGCTCCCTTTGGACCTCAGGGCTGATCGCAGGACCATAGGGTACTTCTCCCTGACCGTGTGTCAGAGGGTTTCGTGACTGGGGGGAGACACCTAAAAAAAAAAAACAATAAAGAGAAGTGATGGGCCACCCAGTCTAAGCTGATAGTGAGTTCCTCCCCAAGAGGTATTGCTCCTAGAGTATCTTTGTTTTCAGTTTCCATTTGGATAGTATTTTTTTTTTTTAAATACTGTTGCAGAACAATTGGAACTATGATTTATGGTTTGCAATTCATCAAGTTGGTTTTATGTTCTGGTGTGATTCACGTTCTGTTGCCTTCCCAGCAATGCCCCACCTCCCTTTGTGAGCATGAAGACTGGGCGCCGGAACAGTAACGTAACCCTTCATTCATAGACTGGAGACTGCTTCGTCCTGCAGTGGTTCATCTGGAGCGTCGTGGCTGTGATGGAGGTCGTGGCTGTGAAGGAGGTGGGCGTATGCTGTCACACACACTTGCCCACCCCACTCTGAGGCCAGTGCCCTCAGGGGACGCATGCAGGCCGGGGCAGCAGTGCGTAGGGCTCGTTTCAGACCCTGCCCCCTGTGGGAGTGAGGCACCACACGTCTTCCTGATTCTGGGGTGGAGGGGGTGGGGAAGAGGAGGGAGGTGCAAAGTCTGCAGCTGTGGGAGGCTGGGGAAGGGAGGCAGGAAAGGACCCTTCCTCTTTCAGTCCCTCACCCTTTGGCTTGCTCCTCCTCCTCCCCATCCTGGAACCGGAGGCAGCTGTGGGTTAGAGAGGTGAGCCTGGGTCCAGAACTGGAACTGCTGCTTTCACAGGCTCAGCACCCGACCCCATGAGTGCCCTCGGGCACATCGGCCTACCCTCTGGCCTTGTTGCTCATCTGCATGAGGCTCTAACGTTAATGCTTACTCCGCAGGAAGGCTAGGAGCTTTCATTACAGAGAACTAATGGCCAACACATCTGTGCCCCTCACCACATGCCCCACTGTCCCAGCACTTCTCCTGCTGTTCCTCACAGTAAGCAAAATACCATTATTAGTCACATTTTTAAAAAGACTTTATATTTATTTCCAGAGAGGGAAGGGAGGGAGAAAGAGAGAGAGAGAGAAACATCAGTGTGCGGTTGCTGGGGGCCGTGGCCTGCAACCCAGGCATGTGCCCTGACTGGGAATCAAACCTGTGACGCTTTGGTTTGCAGCCCGCACCCAATCCACTGAGCTACGCCAGCCAGGGCTATTAGTCACATTTTAGACATGAGGGAGACTGAGGTCCTGAAAGGACAAATAACAGCCTAGACCATAAATCAAGCAACAGGCAGGGCTGGGACTCAGACGTAGGCAGACCGGCCCCAGAAGGGGCGATGCTTAGCAACTCAGCACTACCGAGTCTTTAACGTTATCTGTACGTACCCTTTAATGTAGACTCTGGTCATCTTACAGGCTTTGCTGGAGGTGCAGATCACAGACCTGTGCGGGGGAGGCAGGACTCGGGTGTGGAGCCCAGGCTGGTGACCGCGTGGGCTTGGGCGCCAATGGACCTGCACTGGAGTCCCGGCTCTGCCACTTCCGAGCAGGGCGATGTGACGGGGCTGGCAGTGTTCGCTGGCTTGGCCAGAAAGTCCATTTAGTTTTTTCCATAAAATAAAAAACACATTTTTCATTTTCATCAACAACTTTATTGATTTGGATACTTCGATTATGCAGACTATCTACTGCTATTGGCTTCTAGTGGGTAGAGGACAGGGCTGCTGCTGAACATCTTCCAATGCTCCACTGCAAAGAATTATTTGGCCAAAATGTCAGTAGTAGCAGGAAACTTCGCAAACCACTTTTGACACATTGGATCAGTCACAGCACCTTCTCCACACACTGCACAGATCTTTTTATGCATTTCAGTTGCATTTTTACCTTTTTTGAAATAAGCATAACACGCCAAAAATGTTGTGTATTTTCTTCTATCCTCAATATTTAAGTGGTGGCACAGAAATTCACCAATTTTGATAAGTTTTTTTGAATGCACACTGATATGACAGCTGTCATAGCACAACCTCACAAATTTTTTTCGAATGAAGTTAAAAGCACTACTAGAGCCATCGTATGGAAAACACTAGGCGGAACTTTTTGGCCAGCCCAGTAGCTCTGACACTGTTCACAGAGGTGCAGTCAAGCCTTAACTCGGTCACGTGACTTACTGGGGGCCCTCGGCTAGTGGGAGGCGAGGGCAGGCTCCCATCCAGGTCTTCTGGTCACAGGCCCTGAGTTTCCCCCATTCACCCGCAAGGACGTGGTGGGGCCAGGTCTGAGGATAAGCGTTTTTGTCTTTAGTTTGTGAAAGCGTCACTGGCAAGAATTACAGTGAGGTCCAATGAATGAAAGTGAGTTTTATTCTTGTGAGCCTTTGCTTCTTTATGTGTAACGTTGAACTAATATTGTAATAATTCTTACCAATATCCTAGGGTTATTGTGAAGGATTAAATGGACTCATGCAAGTAAAGGGCTCATGGTCAGTGCTTTTAACTCTCAACTTTGAAATTCATCAGGGCTGGCTTTGTGGCCTGGTCTGTGGTCTGTCTGTGTGGATGCGCCACGTGAACTTGAAAAGGATGATTCTACGGTTGCTGGTGGCTGGTTCAATAAATGTCACTTGGGTCCAGTGGTTTGAGGACATGTTGTTTAGATTCCCTGTGTCTTTACTGATTTTTCTGTCTAGCTGATCTATCCATTGCTGAGACAGGCATGTTATAACTAAGTATGATTGTGAATTTATCTGTTCCTTCCTCTAAGTCCGTCAATTGCTGCTTCATCTCTTCGGAAGCTTTGTTATTAGGCTCCTGCACATTCACGATTGTTGTGTCTTCCTGGTGTACTGACCGCTTTGTCATTGTGAAATGTCTCTCTTCAACTCTGACAGTGCTCTTTGTCTTGAAATTTACTCTATCTGATGTTTATAGAACCCTTCCCACCCTTTCTCATGGTTACCGTTTGTCTGATGGATCTTTTCAGTCCTTTTTTTGCCAGCCTGTCTGGGACTTTATAAGTGAGCACATCTTTCATAGGAGGCACATGGTCGGGCCCTGCTTCTGTGTACGTTTTGACAATCACTGCCTTTATATTGGAGTATCTAGTTTGTTTACAACAATGTAATTATTGATACGCTTTGATGTAGGTCTACTATTTCACTATTTGCCTTCTGTTTGTTCTGTGTGTCTTTTGTTCCTTTGTTTTTCCTTTTCAGATTTATTTTGGGTTAGTTGAATATGTATTTTTAGAATTCAGTTTTAATTTATCTCTATTGGCTCCTTAGCTGTATACCCTTGTGTTATTTTTTTAGTGGCTACTCTAGGAATTACAATGTACCTTCTTTGTGTTCCCGAGTCAGCGTGGAGTAAATACTGTGCCCGTAAGGTGATGTAAGAGCCTTGCGACTCGAACCTCCCACCTTTTATGCTGTGTTGTCTTGTGTGCTATGTTTATAGGATAAGAACCCAATAATGTTGATATTTTTGCCTTAAACTGTCAGATATACTTTAAATCAATGAAAAGAAAATACAGTCTTTAATAATTACCCATATATTTGTCCTTTCCAGAGCTATTCTGTGTTTTTTCTTTCTTTTTTTTTTTTAACTTGTGAGCATTTAATGAACTTCCCTCTGTGTGGCTTCAAGCTGCCAGGACACAGGCTCCCCGCCCCAACCTTGATCTTCCCCTCAGCTCTTCTGCTGAAGACTGTGGCCTTCACAACGATGGGCTGCTCTGGGAGCGTCCCCTTCCCCAGGACTTTGTGTGGCCCGATCACACCACATCAGTGATGGGAGCAGCTCCTGCCTTGTTTTGGGCAGCATTACCCGTGTCTGCTCAGCGACCAAGGGCCACAGCTCGCCAAGGATGACAGTGGGGCAGAAGCTCTGGTTCCTCTTTAAGTGGCCGTGCCTCATGCCAGCTGTCCCGAAGTGATCTGGCGGATGTTCGCCGGAGGTGATCCTGTGATGATGCCTCGGCCTCCCGGGGGGAAGGGGGGCTTCCTGTACTTGCTGTTGCGGCCGTGGCTCACGTGGCCCGGAAGTTTCTGGGTCCTCCTCCTCAGTCTGGATGGCATGTTGGTGGCCAAGATGCAAGGTTCTTAAATTCTTGAAGAGATCCAAATTTTCATCTGATGTCATTTATTTTTCAGCCTGAAGAACTTACTGTAGCATTTCTTATAGTTCAGATCTGCTGGAAACCAATTATCTTCATTTTCACTTATGTAAACATGTCTTTATTTGCCTGCGTTTTTGAAGAATATTTGAATCAGATACGGACTTCTGAGCTGATAGCTTTTCCCCCTTTCCTGTTATGACTTTAAAGGTTTCGTTTCACTGTGTTCTGGCTTCCTTTGCTTCCAGTGAGAAGATCGGCAGTTTTGTTGTTCCGTGTGTGTGACGTGCGGTTTTTTCCAGGAGCTTTCAAGGTTTTTTCTTTCTTTTTGATTTCCTGCATTTTATATAATGTGCTGTGGTTGCTTGAGGTTCACTGAGGTTCTGGAATCTAAATCTATGTCTTTAGCCAAATTTGGGGAAGTCAGGACACTATCTCCTCAGAGATTTTTCTCTTTTCCATGAGCTCTTTTTTCTCTTCTGGAACTCCAGCTGCACATGTAGCAGAGCTGTTTGTATTGTCCCATGGACCACTTGGGCACTTGGATTTCTCAAAGTATGATTCTGTGTTCTTCAGATCAGGTGATTTTTATTGGTATATCTTTAAATTCATTGATTTTTTTAAAGAAATATTTTATTTATTCATTTTTAGAGAGAGGGGGAAGGAAGGAGTAAGAGAAACACCAATGTGTGGTTGCCTCTCACACGCCCCGCACTGGGGACCTGGCCTGCAACCCAGGCCTGTGCCCTAGACTGGGAATGGAACCGGTGACCCTTTGGTTTGCAGGTCTGCACTCAATCCACTGAGCCAGCCAGTGGGCCCTTGATACATTCTTCTATCATCTCCCATATGTTGTTAAACCCATCTAGTTAACTTTTAATTTAAGATACTGCATTTTTTTGTTCCAGAATTTTCATTTATTTCTTTTTAAAAGAGAGAAGCATCAACTTTGATTTGTTGTTCCACTTACTCATGCCTTCATTGGTCGATTCTTGTCTGTGCCTTGACCAGGGATTGAACCCACAACCTTGGCGTATCTGGATGATGCTCCAACCGTCCGAGCTATCCAGCTAGGGCGTCACTCAGTTGTTCTATGAGGGGGTAACTCCTCAGCTGAATAAACAAGAAGCAGAAGTTGGGAACAAATTCCATGTCCCTTATTTTCACTTTTCGTTCACATATACGCACATGATGCAGGTCACCTCTGCTTCATGCTTCCTGAAACGCACGGCTCTTGGAGGACAACGTTGTTTCTTTCTTGGAATTCAGGGAACTGTTTTTATGTTGGAAAAAAAATAGTTCATGTTCTTTGTTCATAGCTGTCTTGCGGCTTCCCAACTGGGTCCAGGTTGAAGCCATGTCCTTTGGCCCTTGGCGTGCTGAGCCCGAGTCTGAGGGGGGTGAGACAGGAAGGAGCAGCCGCTCTGGGGAGTTACAGGCCTGCACAGTTGCCATCGCCAGCTTCTCTTGAGAAACTAGTTACCCGTCGGGAAAGATAACTCAGGTTATCCTCAAAGGAGTCGGTGATGAGGTTTTAAGGAGATCATTCTAGAACCCAGGAGGCGGCCCCATTGTTTTCATACACAAGGAAGATTTACTGGCGGCCTTCAGTCTGTAAGGCATGACACACTTGACAGGTATAGCCTGTTGCGGGCTGAATGTCCGTGTCCACCCAGAGTTCTTACGTTGAAGCCGAAATCCCCATTGGGATGGTATTTGGGGCGTGGCCTTTGAGTGGTGACTAGGTTTAGGCAAGGTCATGAGGGTGAGGTCCCATGATGGGACAGGGGGTCAAAGAAACAGGGAAAAGACCAAATACATATTTCTTGTTGTAAGTCACAATGTCACCGGTGGGAAA